TGTGTGTAAGTGCTCTAAGTAGTTCACTATGTCTCAAGACTCGACTAGACTTAACCAGTGACTGATTAAAAGTCTTCACATAAACTAACTTCTTGACCAACCTGGCAATCAGAACAGCTTGCTTGAACAATAAGGCGACTGTTAAGCCGAACAGCAATATAACAAGCAACAGCAACACAGAATCAGGAACAAGGAGATAATATAACGACACTAAGGGACCATCTGCAGATCCTCCACAAAAGTCACAAAACTCCCATAATACTGAATCTAAGTTCAACATTAGAAAATCCCCGACTGTGACAGTGCACAGATACCAGTACAAATTAGGTCAGAAGCTACAGCTCAGGACCTGAGTTTCTCAGTGTTTATGCGACACACAACCTCAGTACAACGTCAAAAATCACTAAGTCAGGACTATGTTCAGTGAACAGAGTTACACAGAACCAACAACAAGAAAGCGACAGAGACGATCCTCCAACAAGGGCCAGCAAGGTAGAGCTAGAGGGACCTCTTGCTAGAGGGACGTCAAACAGACAAGAGCTAGCGCAGCCCAGGCAGACTACTCCAGGTGAGGTGTGATCACTCCCCCCTGATCACATGACTCTCCGTGCTGTTGCTGCCCAGCAACACAGGGAAGCCGGCAGCATAACGAGCGAAACACTTGTTAGACAAGGCCGTCAGCTATTTAACACTCGAACTATGAGCACTAAATACATAAATGTTACATCCTACCTAATAATATAGCTAAGTCAAATAATATAAAGCAATATATTTACGATTTAGCCTAATATCGCAGATGTAAGCAATATAAAATTATATGAACAGGTAATATACATTATATACATTGTGACCCATTCAGGGGTCGCAATAGCGTATGACAGGGTGGATAGGTGGGGGCAATGTGGCAGATGTTGCAAATGTATGGAATAGGAGGTAGGTTACTGAAAGCAGTGAAAAAATTTTATGAGGAGAGGGAGATTATTTCTCAGTAAAAGTAGGCCTTAGACAGGGATGTGTGATGTCACCATGGTTGTTCAGTATATTTACAGATGGAGTTCTAAGAGAAGTGAATGTTCGGGTGTTGGCAAGAGGTGTGAGGTTAAAAGATAAAGAATCCAATATAAAGTGGGAGTTGTCACAGTTGCTTTGTTGATGACACTGTGCTTTTGGGAGATTCTGAAGAGAAGTTGCAGAGGTTGGTGGATGAGTTTGGTAGGGTATGTAAAAGAAGAAAATTAAAAGTGAAAATGGGAAAGAGTAAGGTGATGAGGATAACAAAAAAAAAAAAAATAGGGGAGGAAAAATTGACTATCAGATTGGAGGAAGAGAGTATAGAGGAGGTGAATGTATTCATGTATCTGGGAGTGGATGTGTCAGCGGATGGGTCTATGAAAGATGAGGTGAATCATAGAATTGACGAGGGAAAAAGGGTGAGTGGTGCACTTAGGAGTCTGTGGAGACAAAAAACTTTGTCCATGGAAGCAAAGAGGGGAATGTATGAGGGTATAGTTATACCAACACTTTTATATGGGTATGAAACATGGGTGGTGAAAGTTGCAACAAGGAGAAGGCTGGAGGCAGTGGAGATGTCATGTCTGAGGGCAATGTGTAGTGTGAATGCAGAGAATTCGTAGTTTGGAAATTAGGAGGTGTGGGATTACCAAAACTATTATCCAGAGGGCTGACGAGGGGTTGTTGACGTGGTTCGGGCATGTGGAGAGGCTGGAACAAAATAGAATGACTTCGAGAGTGTATAATTCTGTAGTGGAAGGCGGGGTAGGGGTCGCCTAGAAAAGGTTGGATGGAGGGGGTAAAGGTTTTGTGTGCGAGGGGCTTGGGCTTCCAGCAAGCATGCATGAGCGTGTTTGATAAGAACGAATGAAGACAAATGATTTTTAGGACTTTACGTGCTGTTGGAGTGTGAGCCAGGTAACATTTATGAAGGGATTCACGAAAACCGGCAGGCCGGACTTGAGTCCTGGAGATGGGCAGTATGTCTACACTCTGAAGGAGGGGTGTTAATGTTGCAGATTTACAATTGTTGTGTAAGTGCACCTCTGGCAAGACAATGATGGAGTGAATGATGAAAGTTTTTCTTTTACGGGCCACCCTGCCTTGGTGGGAGATGGCCGATGTGTTAATTATATATTTATATATAATATATATATATATATATATATATATATATATATTATATATATATATATATATATATATTATATATATATATGCAAAACAACCACTCTGAAAGAATAGAGAAATTCCAAGCGCTTTCGTGACTACTCACATTATCAAGGAACTATGAAAGTAAAGCATCAAAGGAAGGTATATAAGGGGTCCAGCCAACACCTCACTATCAGATCCCACAACAATTAAACACCTGACGTGCGACTCATAAGCAGGCCCGCCGGCCCAATTAGACAGGTCCTTACCACAACCCACCAACAAACCATTCTACCCAAGAAATAAGAATTTTAAAAATTATTATTTGTCCAGTGTATTATTAAATAAAAACTTGCGCCTTACTAAAGCAGACAAAATAAATGCAATAGTAATTATGAAAGAAAATGATTACCAAGAAAAAATGAATAATCTCTTAGATGATACTGAAACCTATTCTAAACTTAGGAAAAATCCCCTAGAAACCGTTAACAGCAATTTCAATAAAACAATAAAACTTCTACTGAAAGGCAAAGATGAATTAGTAAAACAATTTACTTCCACTAATCCATCTTTACCTTACATGTATGGACTAATAAAAACACACAAACCAGGGAATCCAGTCAGACCAATTATTAGCTCCATAGGGTCAGTTTCACATAAATTATCCAAATGGCTCGTTGATATTTTGAGCCCTATTGTTCGCAAAATTTCTAACTTTAATGTTAAAAACAACATAGATTTAGTTGATAAATTAAGCTCCTTGACTGACTTAAATGATTTTAACATGGTTAGTTTTGATGTTACTTCCTTGTTTACGAAAGTTCCTGTTGATGATTTATTAAGTTTCTTATCTGAAGAACTCGTTAACTATGATTTACCATTGCCAGTTCCTACTATCATTAAACTTATTAAACTTTGCATTGTTGATGCAAAATTTGTATTTAATGATAAGTTTTACACTCAGAAGTTTGGTATGGCAATGGGAAATCCTCTTTCACCTGTTCTTAGTAACCTATACATGGATTTTTTTTGAAACAAGGTTGCTTAACACAATCCTCCCTAATAGAGCTAAATGGTTCAGATATGTTGATGATATTTTGTGTCTTATGCCCAAAAAATGTAGATATACACCATTTTCTTGGCAAATTAAATAGCTTAGCCCATTCTATAAACTTTACTGTTGAGTTTGAAGAAAAAACTCATTGCCTTTTCTAGATGTTTTAATTATTAAGGGTAATAATGAATTCAAATTTAAAATTTACAGAAAACCTACAAATAACTGTTCCTATGTCCACTATTATTCTTCGCATCAAGATAGAGTTAAACTGTCTGTTTTCTCATCAATGTTTTTGAGAGCTTTACGAATTTGTAGTCCAGAGTTCATAGATGAGGAAATATCCAAAATTTATGAAATAGGTAATGATTTGAAATACCCAAGAAATGTAATTGATAAATCTTTTAAAGTTGCTAGAAATACTTTTTACAATCCAAAAAGGGACAACCAGCCTTATTCAACTAAAAATATGTTGGTTCTCCCTTACCATGAAAACTTGGTTGATATGCCTTCTTAAGACTTTTAATATTAAAGTTGTATTCAAAAATCTTGATACAGTAAAAAACTTTTGATAAAGAATTCCCCCCAAAATGCTGGTGGATGTGTCTAAGATTTCTTGTAAAATTTGCGATAAAGTTTATTACGGTCAAACTGGTAAAAATCTCGAACTAAGATTAAAACATAAATATAGCATTAGAACTGGACAAGATTCCAGTGCTCTATTTATGTAAGAGATTTTAACCATCCAATTGATTTTCAGAAAGTTGAGAAAGTAGTATCAAGCAAGTCCATGGTCGACAGGAATATAATTGAATCTTGTTTCATAAAAAGCAGTTTTGACAATAATATCAATATTTCCTTTGGTTTATATAAATTAGATCCATTTATAATTAATAGAATTTGGGAAGAATTTAATAATACACTGGACAAATAATAATTTTTAAAATTCTTATTTCTTGGGTAGAATGGTTTGTTGGTGGGTTGTGGTAAGGACCTGTCTAATTGGGCCGGCGGGCCTGCTTATGAGTCGCACGTCAGGTGTTTAATTGTTGTGGGATCTGATAGTGAGGTGTTGGCTAGACCCCTTATATATATATATATATATGTATGTATGTTTGTGTATACCCACGAACAAGTGGTATTGATCAATAACACTGCGACTAGCCAAGGACTCCAACCCATGTTGCTTTGGCCTGCCTCATGGTGGGCAAAAACTCATGACGCCTTAATCCACGGGACCACACAGTCCCTTAAGAGTAGTGCATCCAGCGGAACTGGATGTTGTACTCGCTACCCAAGGACATACGTTGGTGTGGATGAGTCGAGGCTGATTTCATTTTACTCCATGTATGGTGTACTAGTACAACGAGCAGTATTTTATATTACTGTACCTTGTGGATTAAGGAGTCATGAGTTTTCGCCCACCATGAGGCAGGCCAAAGCAGCATGGGTTCGAGTCCTTGGCTAGTAGCAGTGTTATTGATCAATGCCACTTGTTCGTGGGTACATTAATATATATATATATATATATATATATATTATATATATATATATATATATATATATATATATATATATATATATAAACTTGATCAGTTTATATAGGTACAAATATTACTGACTTGTGGAATATGCTCAGCAGGAACCTTGATGTTAACGAAGGCACCTTTATCAGCAATATTGTCAACGAGGCTTTGATCAAGGTAGTCATCCAACTCATGTCTCTGGATGGCTCCCGGGGCAGTGTACGCCATCCCATGATCACTCACAATCACAATGTTCACTGAAATATACACCCGTTATAAGTAACACAGAGTTACTATATTAAATAATATTGCACTTGATACTGTACAATTATATCACTGGTTAACAAAAAAAATAGTTGCCAAAGATATATGAACGTATTTAGGGTATTTTGGTTGGTTGCTAAATTCGAAAATGTCAGTAGGTTTTTCAAATTGGCTCTAATTTGAGAGACATCGTATACTTACCCTCAATTAATGGGGAACTCAGCCATAACGCGTGTATATGTACTGACAATGTGTATATACAGGTAGTTTTAATAAAAATTTGAATTTTATTTTTAAATGATTTAATATTAACAAAAGGAACTGGATCAACAACGACCACGTGACAATATTGTAACCTTTATCTTGTTATTTTTTTTCTTATAAACATGAGTTCTTCACGAAGAGTCTGCTTAAACAGTTCCAATGCATGTGATGAATGGTTTTCAAAACCGATAAGCTGAAGACTGAGACACTTATACAACATATGGGAATCTTTATTAAGGAAACGTTTCGCCACACAGTGGCTTCATCAGTCCAATACAAAGCAAAGAGGGGTGAGGAGAGGAGTAGTTTGAGGTAATCAGTCCCTCAGCCTCAGGCTGAGGGACTGATTACCTCAAACTCCTTTTCTTCTAACCCCTTTCTGCTTTGTATTAGACTGAAGAAGCCACTGTGTGGCGAAACGTTTCCTTAATAAAGATTCTTGCTACATTTGTGGCAAATACTCTTTGCAAAACCAAAGAAAAAACATCACAGATTTTGTAAAACCTGCTTATCTTGCTTACTTTGGAGTGGTGCTTGGAGAGCAAGACAAGACAGGCTTGTAAAACCTATGTAGAATGCTGACCACAATGGAATAATAGGCAATGAAAAGTTTAAATTTCTGGTGTGTCTGTGTTGTGGAAAGAGCCGAAAAAAACACGACGACGACTGATATTCCTGTATGATAAATGTGAATGGTTTCAGGTGATACAAGAAAGCCAAGTGGGAATATCCTGATTCGCAGTCAGCAAGGAGACCTGTGTCACACAGCGAAGACGTTCCCGTACCGTTGTCAAATGTTGAAGAAACTTGGGGTTTAGGATGTGACACAGGTGACAGCAGTGGAAATGAATATGAAGAAAACATTTCAGCACCACAGCAATTCTCCCAAAAAGAACTCAATGATCTGATAAGTGACCTCAGTCTAAGCAAGCATCTGAACTTTCACCGTTGACCCTTAAAAGAACTGTCTACGACAAGAAGTTAAAATAACAGCTTATCCGACAAGAGAAACTGAACTCCTTCCTTACTTCATCCAAGAAGAACTTGTATACTGCAATAACATCCCTTGACTTCTTCGACTGGGACTTGAATATCGACCAGGAGATAGGCGGCCGAGTGTAGACAGCTCCATTAGAAGCTTGAAATATGTATTTTTGCACAGTGGTTACCAATATGCATTTCTTCCAACTGCTTGCTCAACAAAACTTAAAGAATACGAAAATATCAAAATGGTATTGCAGAAGCTTTGCTATAATGAGCACAAGATGTCTATTTGTGTTGATCTGAAAACGGTAAAGTTCTTGCTTGGGCAACAGAGTGAATATACAAAGCACCCTTGTTACATTTGTTTGTGAGACAACTCTTGTTACATTTGTTTGTGAGACAACTCTTGTTACATTTGTTTGTGAGATAACCCTTGTTACATTTGTTTGTGAGACAACCCTTGTTACATTTGTTTGTGAGACAGTAGGGTGAAGGTAGATCAGTCGACAAAAGTGACTATGGCCCTATAGGTGCAGCAAACATCATTAACGAGCCATTAGCTGACAGGGATAACATCATTCTGCCGCCACTCCACATTAAGCGAGGGCTAATAAAGCAATTTCCTAAGGACTTCGATAAAGATGACAATTGCTTCAAATACATTTGTAGATCATTCCCTGTACTAAGCATCGAAAAACTGGAAGTTGGAATCTTTGATCTTCAAATTCGAAAGCTTATCAAGAATTCTAATTTAACAAAATGCATGAATGGTGTTGAAGTTTCTGTATGGTGAAGTTATGTGTCAGTGGTCAAGAACTTCTTGGGTAATCACAAAGCAGACAATTATGAAGAACTGGTGCAAAACACACTGACAAGCTTTAAGAATTTACGTGGCTCGTGGCCTGATGGCAAAAGCTCTCGCTTCCCACGGTGAGTGTACGGGTTCGATTCCCGGCAAAGGGTGGAAACATTGAGTGTGTTTCCTTACACCAGTTGTCTATGTTCCCCATCAGTAAAATGGGTACCTGGGTGTTAGTGGACTGGTGTGGGTCGCATCCTGGGACAAAATCGACCTAATTTGCCCGAAATGCTCGGCATAACAAGAGGTTTTCTATATAGTAGTATGTCACTGATGTCAGCTAGGCCTGTATACCTTGTACATGTAGTAAATAAAGATATTATCATTATTATTATTATTATTATTATGAGCATAAAGGTACACTGTCTCCTTAGCCACTTAGATTTCCACAATCTTGGTGAGGCTTCATCAAGACAAAGGTGATGGAGGGAAGGTATGAACGTAGATGGGACACACTTGGTAGCATACTACTGTTGGAGCCTCCAACGTGACTGTGCTGATGACCAACATGCAGTAATTAGTGGTATCTGGATTATCATATTATCTTAATCAATTATCATATAGAATGAAGTACTACTACATGATTTAACTTTCGCATGATCTAAAAAAAAAAAAATTTAAAGCGATTTGCAAATTATCCCCGCCTGATTAATATATTTTTCACATCTCTATGTTTTTCAATGGGATACCAAATTTATCAAAAGCTAGAGCCAATCAAGCAAAACCAATGACATATTCGCAATCATTACCACAGACTTACACCAAAAACGGTGTAATATCATTGGCAAGATAATGAATGTTGACCAGTGATCATTCCCAGGGCATAAAACATAACGCTTAACAGTCACACCAAATTAACCAGGCTCATTGTAGATTCCTATTAAATTTTTCATGTCAAAGGCTCTCCTTTAGATCTATAACCCACTATGATAACATGAACATAGGTAAGTATGTTTATGGAGCAACTTGCAATGTGAACACTGACTGATGTTGTAGTGGCCAGGCTTAGGCTTGGTTACAAGTACTGACTGATGTTGTAGTGGCCAGGCTCAGGCTTGGTTACAAGTACTGACTGATGTTGTAGTGGCCAGGCTTAGGCTTGGTTACAAGTACTGACTGATGTTGTAGTGGCCAGGCTAGGCTTGGTTACAAGTACTGCACTTGATGATTTGTAAATTGGCAGCTTCAGGACTTGGTTACACTAGATGGAAACTGATGAAATCTGTATGTTCAGGCTTACTTGGTAACAAGTACTGACTATGATGTGTTCAAGTTGCTTGGTACAGATCTAGCTGAACAGTAGAAGTTGGGTTTAAACCAAGTACATGTAACACATGTATGGCCAGTTAGGCTTGTGTCTACACTTGAGCTATCCACTATGTGATATGAGGTGACTTAGCTTGTTCTACAAGTACTGACTATGATTGTAAACTGGCACAGATAGGCTTGTGTTACAGTACTTTACCACAGTTGGACAGAGCAGCTTGTGTTCCACAGTCAGCTGCACCCATGACAGAGATTGTGTTCCATAGTCAGCTGCATCACCACTAGATTGCATACAAGTAAGTATGTGTTAAGTCACTCACATTACACTGACGATAGTTGTAGTTCCCAGTTAGCTGTACAAGTCTGCACTGAAGTTGTGTCCAAGTCAGCTGACAAGTGACGAGAGTTGTGTTCCACAGTCAGCTTGTACACATACCTATGTGGGCCAGCCAGGCTTGTGTTCACAGTAGCTGCTACGACTACCAGTGCACAGAGGAGTTGTGTTCACAGTCAGCTGCACTGATCACAGTGCACAGAGTTGGGCTTGTGTTCACAGTACAGACTGAAACTCATTGTGTGCACAGTAGGGATTGTGTTCCACAGTACAGCTGACACCAGTGCACAGGAGGCTGGTTGTGTTCCACAGTAGCTGCAGACCACAGTCTGCACAGAGGGAGTTGTGTTTCCACAGTCAGCTAGCACACCACCAGCTTGCACAGAGGGAGTTGTTTCCACAGTCAGCTAGCACACCACCAGCTGCACAGAGGGAGTTGTGTTCCACAGTCAGCTGCACACCACCAGCTGCACAGAGGGAGTTGTGTTCCACAGTCAGCTGCACACCACCAGTTGCACAGAGGGAGTTGTGTTCCACAGTCAGCTGCACACCACCAGTTGCACAGAGGGAGTTGTGTTCCACAGTCAGCTGCACACCACCAGCTGCACAGAGGGAGTTGTGTTCCACAGTCAGCTGCACACCACCAGCTGCACAGAGGGAGCTGTGTGTTCCACAGTCAGCTGCACACCACCAGCTGCACAGAGGGAGTGTGTTCCACAGTCAGCTGCACACCACCAGTGCACAGAGGGAGTTGTGTTCCACAGTCAGCTGCACACCACCAGCTGCACAGAGGGAGTTGTGTTCCACAGTCAGCTGCACACCACCAGCTGCACAGAGGGAGCTGTGTGTTCCACAGTCAGCTGCACACCACCAGCTGCACAGAGGGAGCTGTGTGTTCCACAGTCAGCTGCACACCACCAGCTGCACAGAGGGAGCTGTGTGTTCCACAGTCAGCTGCACACCACCAGCTGCACAGAGGGAGTTGTGTTCCACAGTCAGCTGCACACCACCAGCTGCACAGAGGGAGCTGTGTGTTCCACAGTCAGCTGCACACCACCAGCTGCACAGAGGGAGCTGTGTGTTCCACAGTCAGTGCACACCACCAGCTGCACAGAGGGAGTGTGTGTTCCACAGTCAGCTGCACACCACCAGCTGCACAGAGGGAGCTGTGTGTTCCACAGTCAGCTGCACACCACCAGCTGCACAGAGGGAGCTGTGTGTTCCACAGTCAGCTGCACACCACCAGCTGCACAGAGGGAGCTGTGTGTTCCACAGTCAGCTGCACA